CCTCAGCGCTCGTACGATCGTAAAACTATAGGGAGCCACCCTAAACTACAACTTTGAATGTGATTGGCGTATTGAACTGTCCGATAACAAACTGTCCAGTAACAAACTGTCCGATAATAACTTGGTAAGTGAATTAGTGGAAAAAAGGAGTTTTTTAAACCAATCACAATCAAGGAAATTGTAATTTTTATGATTAATATGATTAACATTGTGCGTGGTAAGAGCAATTTAACAAACGAGAAAACAAGATGATAAATGAAGGCAAATAAGGATAACAGAAAAATTATTTATACACTTGTGTATTGGGAGAATCATTGAAAACTACAAACTGGGTCATAGTAGCATAAACGTATTTAATACAGGTAATAAGCACGTATACTTAAAACAATTCTAGAATTTTAATTACCAAACCTGGGAAAAGGTTCTTGTTCTGGACTATAGGGAGACTATAACTAACATGCGAAGTTTAATTAAACTTAGTTCTGAGAGCGATTTTCAGTTGAGTGTAGTAAAACCAAAACCAAAACCAAAACCAAAACCAAAGTAATTGGCTGATTACTGTACTTTCGACACTCGATTGAAAACCGCCCTGCTACAAAAGATTGATCAATTCAGTAAGTACCTTTTTTGCCTCCGAGTAATGTTTCTCTTCTGTCGTTATACACACTGCTGATCTGTCCTTGCTGTAATCATTCTTTAATACTGGAATATGCACGTGACCATCATCGGATGTCATGGCGATCTCATCAGACTGCGCAATAATAGGATCAGGCTGTGGTCGGACGATGATTCTAGCTTGAAGTTTGCCATCGGAAGTCGTCGTAAGATTTTCGTAAAGATACGAATACACGAAGACATCTTCACCTGAGAAGTCCTCGTTTGGAATGTACGTTGCTTGAGCGTCACACATTTCGTTTTGTATGTTGAGGTTGCCGTCTGGTGAACTCGTAAATGCTCCATATTTCGGATGCTCAACAATGATGACGTTTGGAGCAAGCTTTTCAGAAGCTTTGTTGTACTTCAGAAAGTCAAATGTGACCGGGTCATCCTCATCTGTTATGATGGTGAAGGAGTCTTCCAAACCTGTAAAAACGTATTGATTACAGTCAGTGCTGCGCGTCGTTATCGAAACTGATAAATCTAAAAGCCATAGGAAGGTTCACTATCATGATAAGCCATAGAAAGGTACACTAACATGAGAATGACTGAAATGTCAAAACACAAAAGACATATGTTCAATGATGGAGACCTAAAACGAATGTTCTAGTTTTATTAAAAATCACTCTAAAAGTGCACTGAAGCCATGCAATGCCTGCTCTGATGAGAAGAGGGGTGGGGCATGTACTCAGTTGTGACGTCAAATTGAAGAATTAAGAATGGCAGACTTTTTTAAATTATGACGTCGTGCCTTGGAAAAATCACTCAAAGCTAATTGCATCTACATGGTGTTCTAAAAGCATTTTATGCACGAGTCAAGTTATTTAGCCGTAATGTTACACTGTTTTGACCAAAAGTGCAGCAAATCGCCTTTAAGGTGTCCCGTTGAAAAAACTCTGGCATATTGGCAAATTTTGCATTCAGATTATTGTTAAAAAAATCGTTGAAGAACTAGTTTGCGTCCACCATCTTGGGTACTACACACATTAGCACCCTGTGTGGCGGCCAGCATTGTATGTGACCTTGAGCGTTGAAACTTCTCTGTTTGTATACAAAAAATCTTACTGGTATTAAAAAGTTAATTGATCAGTTAAGGCTTCCCGCTGTGTCTTCAGGGCAAAGCAGTGTTCAGATAAGACATTACGAATCATGACCTCTTTAGTAACACTACTGATAATAGCAACATGAAATATTGGGGTAACAAAGTGCTAGAGTAAATATTGTTTCTTGCGTCTTGACGAACGTGGTTAGCCGAGCCGTCAAAACTTTTAGAAGCCTGCGTATTCAAAGCAAAACAGGGCATACATGACGGCAAAGAACAGCTTTGAGGAGATTTCCATTTCAATACAACGCCAGATAACCTGTTGTCTCTCTAAAACCAACATTCTCTTGCAGTCTTTATTTTCTCTCTTTCGCTAATTATAAACCGAGTGCTACTATGAGAGTTACGAAAATAAACTTAAGGCATTGTCGTTTCTTGCAATCTACTGGGCGCCTGTGCTGTTTGACGGGCACTTTATTAAGGAGTATTTTGTGACTTATATGTCTCGATGTGGTGATGTCCCCAGACACCCACTTTCCACAATTATCCACGTGGCCATATGTGACTGTTTAAAAGCAAGCACTTTACGGGAAATTCATTCCCACTGTTTTCTCTCACAAACCCTCCAAACTATGGCAACATTTTGACTTCCACAAAAGCTGATGCAGTATGGATTTGTCACTGAAAACGTCATCTCTCCCGTGCACGGTATCAACAACTGATTACCGAACTTAGGAAGCGTAAAAACTAGGTAAATTAACAAAGTAGAATTTAACTTTGACCGCTGGATTAATTTAGGTTGACCACGTGTATTCTTTGTAATGGCTTTAGAACAACTCTTTTCCATAACCCATACCGTCAGTAGGTGTGTGTAAGGTGGAAGCTTTTCCGCGTCTATCTCACCTTGATTTCGTACTACTTTTCTGAGAAAACGAAGTCAACATCCTAATTTACGTGAAGAAAGGGCTTTGCCATGTGACTGCGAAGCTTATGTTAATGTTTTTGCAGTCGTAAATTCTTCTCAGTGGGACCAGCAGATTACACTTTAAGTGCGGAAATTGGAGGTTGAGATTAAAAAGGTTACAAATAACGGTCGATAGAAGGCGGAAATTCATACAATAACATTCCTGTTTATTTCAAACTGCGCAGCTTGATAATTGTAACGAATCATTCAAACTTCGAGGGGAGGGAGTGATTGTTAAAGCTGCTAAAGAACAATCTAATGATAGGGTGACTGCAACGTTGAGAACTGTCTTTGTTGTTACTGCGAAGCCAAGTACTTTGAAGGAAAAACCATTTATAATATCACAATTCACGTCTTTCAAACTCCGAACATCACAATAATATACGGTCGTAAAATTTGTAAACGTTTCAAAAATGAATGGAATATTAGTCATAAGGTGAAAAAACGAAAACAAGACAATACAACGGCAAGGAAATCTACTGTCTTGTGCCGGCGGGCAAAGGCATTTGTTTTACGAGCTTGATGAAAAGAAACTGTATACTAGCCTATTCAGATGACCACAACGGTCTGGTAGAATGGAAAGTTTCAAAACCATATGTTTTACTGTTCTCTCCTCGGCACAAATACGACGGATGAATTAACTAAGATTTTGTTCCGTTCACAACATGACAGAGTCTGAAAACGCAATGCCCAGAGGAATCGTCTAAGTTATCTTCACTCTATCGGACACTTTATTGAGCTTCTGGTACGATATGGGTGTAATACAGGATGACCATGCAATTTGGAGGAAAAATAAACATTGCTTTTTAGTTATGCTACTAATCAAAAATTTCTTATGGCTTCCAGTGAAAACCAAATGAATCTCTCTTTTTTTTTTCCGCATTGATAAAGCGCGGCCGGCGGGTTTTTTTAATGTTAGCGAATCCAATTATCCCACGTAAACACTTCAGTGCCATTAAAACTACTTATAATATGAAAAGAACAGAATGACAACCACAAAAGCAGCGAAAAATTTTCATTATGGATTAGTAAACGGCTTAGCCTACCAACTTTGCTTTGAAAGGTTACAGAAACTTGCCCTGAATGGCTCAAAATGGTTTAGTTTCCGTTTGAACTCGCTCTAGAGCCAACTTTAAAGACCAAACTAGTGCTTTGTTATGCTTTGTGTGGAAAAATGGATATTACAATATTGTGCACCTAAATCACCCCTATCAATATTCATATACTTGAGAGCTGTAGATACACATGGCATGATTTGTCCATAATGCACCTTACTTGGTTTGGGCGTGATGCAAAACTGAGACAACTCAACTCAATATGCCTTTGGGTGGATACTTATCAAACGTTCAGTGTTTCAAACACAGTATTACAAGCTGATAAGCAGTTCCCGAAACTACCAGCAACAACTGCTTCACTGAACATGAAGTGCATGTCAAGAATGAAGTAGACTTTGTGTCTCGAGGCCCACTCGTAACACTCTTAACAGGAGAGTAGATATTTTAAAAATCTAAAAGCGTTCATTTTTTCCTGTTTACTTAGATACCTCATACGGTTACTATATGAGATTGAAGGGTATTAAAAAATTGATGACAGATTGTAATAAGGCCATGTTTAGTAACTCTTCGAAAACAAGCCATTTTATGGAAGTTTACAAGTGGCTTCGGAACGTTCTTGTCGCATGTAATGCATTACAACTGAGGTATTTTGTCGATAAGACCTTAATATTCGGTTATATGCCAGAGTAAGGGCAAGTAATTTGAAATACGCGATAAAGGCATAGAAAATTCTTGACAGATTATTGCTTCGAAGATGATAATTTCTAAAAGCGCGTCAGCCTCTGGAATAGCTTAATGAAAGCAGCAAGGGTCACTACTTTTCGTTGTCACAGTGTTTTATGGCCCTTACCCGTGAACTTTTACTTAAACATATTCAGTTTAAACAAACAAAGTTTTGCATGACCAAAAGTCGTTTTTTTATACCTCTGGGTACTACAAGCCATGTCATTCAACAATATTATAAGTGCATCGTGCTAAAGATAAAACCAACCGTTCGCCATGTATGGTGCAATTCTTCGTTCTTAAACTGTCATAACAATTTGAAACAATATCTGAGGACGTAGTACCATTTCAGATAGTGTTCGAAAAAGCGCCATCCGGCTACCAGTCGCTCCATTTTCTCAACAACAAAAACAAAATACTGTACGAGCTTTGTGGATATGTTCACCGCTGAGTGAAATACCGCCTCGTTTTGTGGTAAACAGAGACACTAAAAGAAGTTTTAGAAAGGAGCTGATTCTAAGAGGACCTCTTGAAAAGAAACTCTACCGGTGTAATTGATTTCGAAGGAAGAAAAACAAGTTAAATTTTTAGCACGGAAAGGCCGAACTGTGTTCTTTGTATTAAAAATCACCGCAACGTGAGCTATATAAACTGACCGCCCTCTTCAATGAGCTAGTTATTATCCGGAGACACTGACATATGCCTGGAAGTTTCTTTCCCAATTGGTCGCAATTGTTTTTTGGCAAACATTCCAGCTTCTCTACAACGCATTGTTATGGTTGTAATTGTGCATTCGAAATAGTTACAGAATCTTTTAAGTAACCTTATCAATTAACTGGATTTTTTTAACCCTGTTAATATCGGGCTCAATATCTCGCTAAGAACTATATTTCGCTTAAAAGATTGAAATGCCAATATTGCTTGGAATTTTCAGTTTATATCTCTTTGCTTTTGTTAAATTGCCCGTCTGATATCGGGAAGAAATTCACATTCCTTTACTGACGGCAGATAAAATTAGCTCACATCATCATTCATCTGACAATATCCCATTTTGTTGGAAGGCTTTCGCCCAACGTTTTGGTGAAAGCGCAAACCTGATTTAGATGTATCTATTTCACACCATCAGATTAGCTGTTTTACATATATTTCTCGTTTTCGACTCTAAAGTACAGTGAAATGGAAATATTTGAACTGTTAGCACTATGCAATGAAAATAGACTTGGTCATTAAACCAAACAAAGCAAGTTTTTGTTCTTCGAACACAACTGGCAAAGCAAACGGGTTATTCATCACTTTGGGCCAAAAATATCAGGCTTTCTAAGTAATTTAATATTAAAGGTAATTAATTAGTGCAAATTACGCCACATGTTCCTAAACTCGGTCTTTTTAATTCACCCAACAGGTATTTAGTTTTCATCATGAATACCTCGAGTTTTTTGAAATTCTTGCCGCTTAAGAGCAGTAGTCGACCCTTGCCCCAAATCAACTGTTAGATTGTTAGTAACCATCAATCCCAAAACATCAAAGTCTTCGAAAATCACTGAACTTCGCTGAACACTGCCATGGATAAAACTGCTGGAAGATGTCACTTGTGTGCAAGTATGGGTTTTGTTCTTCGAAGTGCCTACCCCTCGTGTGGTTCTCAAGAAACCCTTTCCCCTGAGTTGCACAAAACGATCTAACGGTTTCCACCTAATGAGAAGTGGTTAACCAACCGGTAGGGATTAAAGAGGGATTAATGCAAGGTCCGGTAAGGTCAACACAGCGCTGAGAGATGATGTGGGCGCTTGAGGAAATCAACCGGCCGTAACTTAGGTTTGTGTACTTAAGAAGGGTTAGAACCATTTCTTGCACGAATCATAATGTACAAAGAGTACCAAAACCACACTCACCATTGGTTACAGTTCCAGTGAGAAGGATAATCAGCAAAATGAGAGTCGTTTCCCGGTTGAGAGCCATCGGTTTCTTGTTCGGTGCGACGGTTTCCCAAGACTGGATTACACATCAGCATACGACAGACCTACTGCCAGCCAGCTGTAATCAGCTTATCTGTATAAGTCCGCTCTCGCTTTTATATCCGCTCGTAAGATGAGGATTCAGCTCCGCCCATTTCCACCTCAGTTAACACGGGCATTGAAATTCATCTCCCTGCGGCAGTGTAAATGACCTAGTGCTGAATACAACAAGCTCACTGCTTTTTTCTGCCCTTTGTTTGCGTAGGTTTCACGTCATCTGTAAACACAGATTATTTTCAATCGACAGCCTGTTTGATCATGTCACGCAGCTTCCGAAAGTTAGCTATCGTTGCAATCCGGCGCTAAATTTTCCTGCTGTACGACCCCAGCTGGGTGGGTAGAGTTATTAACGGCGATTATTTCAACCCCCCTTGCCGCTGAACTTGTTTTGTCGCCTCACAGTGCTAAGTATCGCAGTGGTCTTTCCTTCCTTTTGTGTGTGTGTGCCTATTGCTTGGGAATACGTCACAGCGGTGTAGGTTTAGAGCCATTTAGCCCTCCAATCTCGTTTGGCACCTCTGCGTCTAAAAACCAACACTGTCTTGCCATTTCCGATTACACTTAACTGAAAGCGACATAGCTTCGTCGTAAATCAGGATTCTTTTCAAGATGCTGCTAAATACTGTAAACCCCAATTCCCAGTATGACGTTAGTTGACAAATAAATTTGTGCTCCACTAACTGTTGTTTCCTTTAATAGCTTTAGTTTCCTAGTTCATTGACGTGTGTTTTCTCATGAGCTGATTGACATAACAACTGCGATAACTGCTTTCGTTTGTTCCTAACCAATCGGTGCTTTGAAAGAGAAATATTGGATTGTCTATGCCCGGAAGATAAAGTGGAATTTTCAACAGCTAAAACGAAGCATTTCACCTTATTTTGCTAGTTCTGCTTGTGTATCGTAAATCTTTTTGTGGCGAGAATAGGGAGATTAACAACGGAGCTTTACCCCCTAGAAGGGCTTCACTTAGTCCTCAGTTAGTTGCTGGCTAAAGCTGTTAAATTCCGGATATTGTTCGACGTGTTATTAACCCTCTCCAACGATGAATTATCCAAATACACAACATTTTTAGCGGGAAGCTATTGAGAACGCCAACATAAAACATAAAAACAACTGAGTGCGAGCAGTAAGCCCAACTCATAATAAACAAAACATTGATGATAGCACTTTTTCTTGAAACTCGTTTTGAAGTTGTACTTGAGTTGTTCATCCAATGTCCTCCCAGTGCATTAAATGACCTTACAGACCTTTCGACGCCTTGAATTTTATTATTTTCGAGTGTTTCTGAAACATTCTTATTTCTTTTGTTGACTTAATATTTTGAGGCATGTGTATGAGCGATTTTACGTCTATTTTTCAGGGATAGGAAGCTCGGCTCACTTAACTTCGTCAGCACCGCCCAAATTTTGTCACTAGCTGAAATAATGTAACATAATAGGTAGCCAACCTGGGCCTATATCGCTCTGTAAGAACATATTCAAAAACTTTCCCATCAGCATATTTTTAACGGCCGCAGGTAAATATTTCATTGTCCCTTTCTTTTAAATGTAAAGCTTTGTTTTATTGTATTAGGTTTAAAGTTCTTGAAGTAGGTCACTTTCAAAGTTTACTGCAACGCGGGAACATTTCCGCAAGCCTTGAATCAAACATTAATTAAACCTATATTTTCTATTACTTGCGCAATTCACACAGGGACTAGAACTCAATTATTTTCTGAATAATATGCAACCAACCTTGAATTTTATTACCGGAAAAAACTAAACCCTTAGTGTCAAAAAAATGAAAGGGACTTTTATACCAATTGTGCCGTAGCACGTTGAAGGAATCACACTTCAGTGAATTTAATGACTGAAGCCTCTAAGGTCCTCGCTAGTTTTGCGCCAATAATTTTACGTTCTATTTACGCAAATTTCGTTCATAGAAGGGCAGGTAGCTTGTGTCGGTAATTTAGTTATAATAGTAATGTAGATGCATCCATTAGAGGCCGAATAAGTTTTTCACAAAATATATATATACTACAATAGCCGTTTTTTTGTTTTGTTTTGACTAGTTCGGCCCACTCAAAAATAAACATAAACGAAATTTGTAGATGCGAAACTAATACTGATATTCCTCAGGATTCTCATCGAGAAAATGGTGTAATGCAAGGTTTTTGACCAATTTAGGACAAACTGTTGACACAGAATGTTAAGAAGCATTCTTTTTCCTGTGTAAATTCTCTTCCATTACATGTCACTCAAATAAATAATTTCATTTGACCTCTCAGCAGTATTAAAATGTGTAAGTTTTGTCCCGTCGACTGATTGGATTCTATCACTTAGGTTTCTGAACGTAGAAACCTGACAATACGAAGTGACAACACGATATTTGTGACGTTTGATTTTGGCGTTTGTCGGGTTGTGCGCGGAAGGAACGGAAAGGGACAAAACGCTAAACGCGTGGTCGGAACGTTTCCCGCCCTTTAACTGAAGTGGGAGGTTAGAATTAACGGGCTGAGTCTATTGTTTGAAGCTCAAGTACGACATTGGTATAATTTCCTGAAGCCTAATCTATTTCCATCTTTGTTTTTCTCTCTCTATCTATTTCACTGTTTGTATTTTACATTGCCGCAAATTGAGATCTTTTTATAGGAATCTAGGTTGCTGTTTTTGTATTTCCGTAGATTAGTTGACAGCGTATTGGAAGCCCAGGATCGGAACGTCATTGTCATTGTTCATATCTGATCGCAAGTCAAAGATATTTTCTTGTGTGCGGTTAGGTCAGTTATATTTCCAACTCGCATCGTTTCTTGGTTATCACCAGTTAGCTAGAACATAACTATTAGCAATACAAGAAAAATCTTCACGACAGACAGTGAAGCGCGCTTGAAAAGTCCAGCAGAAACTGACAGGTCTAATGAGGCGGTTTTCACTAACATGGAACTGCTGAGCAACAGGCATATCAGCTGAAGAAAATAAGCGTGCAAATTATATTGGTGACAAGCAAGAAATTAAATCGAAATGATCTTTCCTTCAGGCATGAAGGCAAGATCTAAAGGATTCTTTTGGTTTTTCCTTACAATCCACAAATTCCTGCCTTCGCTTTACGGATCCCGACTGTGTTTTAAACATTGGTCCACAGGCTGTTAAACGGCTTCATGGGTATCATAGCTAGCCAAGTAATTCAATTTGCAAAGCTTTACGGTTGAAAATATCACTAAGCTTCAAAGAACCTGTAAACATACCTCAAGTTTATTAAGTGACTAAATGTATAAAAAGATATTGTCACGTATAAAAGAATGGTGTGCAACTTTGATTTCGCAGAAAGAATTCCAAACTTCTGCGATATCGAGCAACTTCTAAAATATCCAATGTCTTATTTTGAAAAGTGCAATAAGGCATGAAAGCTGCACTTCCTTTACGCAATTGAGAAAATAACCACAAGCGCCTAAAACACGTGTAGTACTTAAAGCTCTGAAAATATTGATCTTACGGCAACCACAAACTCAAAATAAAGCCAGATTCAGTATTTTGGGCTGGAATGTGCTCTTCTTCGGTATTGCCCAAGAATGGAGTTAATGTGAGGTAGAATAAAATATATTAGGTTGCTCCCTCTTACCTTGTTCTTCCCGGTTAAAGGTGATTAAACTTTTATTTAACATATCTGTCCACTAATTTTCAATCAAAAGTACTACGAGCTGTGAAAGCCGAGCTCAGAGCGAGAAACATTTCCGCGGCATTCAAAATCCGAGTGCGAAGAGCACGTGAGAGAGGAGGGACCAGTGACAACCGCGGAGGATGTCGAGAAAATACCTACTTACACGTTTTCTTATTTTCGAGTTTGATATTCTAGAGAATTTAATTTGATACATGCTGCAATGTTTAGTGACGTAAGTATTTCTTGTTGACAGTGTGTAGATGACATACGCTCTTTAACTCCTCAGTTAATTAAGTTTACATAAGTATGAACACAAATATCTTGTTACCTACATTAATTGTGAACAAGCAAGGAAACATGGCTGTTACTAATAAAGTCTTTGAAAGGGGCCTTCAAGGAAGGAATGAGTCGACACATCTCGAAAAAGAGAAAATCTCCTAACTGCAGTTTGCCTCAAATGAATATAAGTTATTTGCGTAGAACTTGTTATTTATATCGGGATGCCTATTACACTGAAGGTTGTCATATTGCTTTCTGGCTTAAATAGTTACAGTAGATATCTTATGACCTGCTCCGCCGCCAAAGTGGCGCCATGGCCCAGGCCCGACAGATCGGGTACAGATTATTGATGGACAAACTCTGCCGGTATAACGTCAAACATACAGGCCAGTTATGGCCGTTTCCGAAAAGGGAAGGAATCTTAAGCAGAGAAAGTGGAAAAAAAAAACGGTAATTGTCAAACCAATATAAAAAAAATTATAATAACGCCAAAACCAATAATAAATGCAACATGACAATTGCAGGAAATGCGAAATAAAAAATTCCAATATGAAGTCCAGCAACTACAGAAAAAATCTAACAGGATATATGATCACCACTGGGCCACAAAAATGCCGTCGTATTAACGTCCTGACGAGGAAATTACTGACAACGCTCCCCTTAGGACCGAACAAAGAGGCTGTAATAATTTCAGCACTAGTCGTAGGTCAGGGTTCCCTGCGGGATGCCCGCGGGATCCCTAGCTACGGCATCATAACGGCGGCTTTGAACTTTCGGCAAACATGTATGGGGGTGATAAAGTTTAATACGAACACTGTACGTGGGTGCAGTAGACCTACTGACCGGCATAATTGATACAAGCTTAATGCTGTTCTTTTGAGAAGGAATTGGAAAAGGATATTTGATCATACAGCTTGAATTAAAAGCTTGTGAAAAGGGGGGGGGGGGGGGGGGG